AGTATGAAAAATGACTGTGAACATGTCAAAACATATTGCCAAGTGCTTTAAGGTAATGAGTAAATTTATCACACTACAGTTAATACTACTCATTCTTTTCTAGCTCAAGCACTTACACTGGTGCACAAAAATTAGTTTCACTAGATGGGTCATGCAAACACCATCATCCCGCAAAAACACAGCACACACAGTAGAAATGGTCACTGTGGTAGGTTATTATTGACTGTGATCCTCTCTAGTTCTGCATTTAAATTACCTCTTCCTTTAGGGATTTGTCAATGATGATTACCTTCACCTCGTAATAAATCAGGGATATCCTATGCTGTTCTAGGTAAATTACTAGGTAATTTTACTTTCTAGGTAAATTACTAGGTAAATTTACTTAAGAAATATATTTCTTAAGTAAATATTTATTTCAAATTCAAGACTCAGGTTCCTACTCAGAAATGAAGTTTGCCGGGTGACTGTGACAGATAGGCAGACATCCTGCCCCTTTCTGTCAGTCTCCAATCCCCTATATGCCTGTTTGGGGGGTAGGGGGTACAGGGCAGCTAACATCAAATCAGGGATCCTGTTTTGTTAAGAATGCCAGATGAGAGGGGAGTGCAAGAAAAAAAGCTGTTACACTAGCCCTGTTCACAAATTACAGTGAGCACATGTACAATCCATTTATGGTGTGCACTCTGTATATTCATTGAGTAATGCTCATGTTACAGTCAACACAGCTGAATATGCGATACAACCCCTACATTTATCCAGGTACTGGTCCCCAGTTTACTTGGTAAAACAAACATGTATTGGCTCTGTCTTACAAACAGCTATCCACATATATACGTGTTCGCTGCAACATGTAAACAGGACTAGTCACCTCATTTCAGAGAGGACTGTGTCTGAAGGGTATTAGCTGGGAGACAACCTGTCACAGGAGACTATCTAGGCCTCAAGAGTTTACCTGGTTTGTAAGCAAACTAAACCAATGAATGTTTGGACAGAGGGTTTGGGCTTATAGAGTGGTAGGCTGATAAAGTATGTTATTTGTAAAATGGCTTAAGCCTCATTAATGAACTCCCTTATTTTTCCTATCTCAGTAATTTTTTTAACCTGTTTCCCCGATGCCTAAGGGTCTGATGAGATAATATATTAAATGCAGGTTGGGTAGGGGGGAACCCAACTCACACTTAACATGTGACCCAGCTCTCACATTAAAAATGGAGGGAGGGCATATAGACTCCCAAGTGTGCACAGCAGCAGGAGAAGCTTCATCGTTCCCTCCTTTCCTCACCTTGTGCACTTTCACTAGCAGAAAAGGGCTATGGAGGGAAGGCTGTCTTACTGACAGTTCCCCTCATGGCCCTTTTTTGCTAGCAAAAGCACACATGTGGAACAGAAGAAATCATAAAGCTCCTCCTGCTCTTGTATGTGCTCAGGAGTTAATACAGCCCCCCCCCCCTTTAAGGTAAGTGCTGGGTAAAACCTTAAATGCCAGTTTAGTTTGACTTTCCCCAAACTCAACCTGCATTTCACATCTATATATCTAATAGCCAAGTTGCTCCCTTCATGCGGATATCTAAATCTGCACATCAGGGGCACTTGGGGGGCAGAGAGATTTTCCTGCATACTTGGAGCAGTCCCCAGGCATGCAGAAAAATCTAAAAAGTTGAAAAAAATATACAGGGGATATTTAAATCCCCCCAAAGCATTCCCTGCGCAGAGAACGTTCTGGCCATTGGCTGGGAGTCGCTCAGGCCTCGCCACCGGTGCCGGGGGGGGGAGCGGGAGAAGGCTTGGCAGGCCCGGCAGCTAGGAGCCACGTGGGCCTTGCCATTCGTCCCGGGGGGGTTGGGGGAGAAGGCTTGGCAGGCCCAGGCCTTGCCATCGGTGCGGGGGGAGAGAGAAGGCTCACCTGCAGCTGGTTCCTCCTTCTCCCCCCCATGTGTATCACAGGTCCCCACTTCTTGTATCATCTAATCAGACCTTTATATATATATGAATTGCATTCAGAAGGCCACTTGGATTCAGTCTGTCAGTATCAGGTCAGGGTAGAGACCACTCTGTTCAAACTATGCAGTGTGCTACCACTGTTTAAGCAGCATTTAAAACCCTGACCTTTGCAGTACCTTTGAGCCAGTTATAGAGAGGAGGGAAGGGATGAAGTCCCATTTGATTAAACAAGGATTTATTCTCAAGATTGCAGCCATAATCTTTTAATGTAATTTGCCTCACAGGGTTGTTATGAAGATAAAATGGATATTGGGAACCCTATATGCTGCATGAGCTCCTTGTAGAATGGAAGGTACAAAAATATTTAAAATATGTTTGCTATATGAATGGAAATAACAGGATGTAGTCTGTCCATTAATGTAGAATTGTGTGCAAATACAGAGACGTAGGCCGCATTCAGACTGGCAGTTTGGCCCGACAGCCAAACGCTTCAGGAGCGTTTCACTAGCGGATTAAAGGGGCGGGTTCACACAGCCACATGTTTCAGGCGTCCCTCAGCCGTACTCAAGCCGTCTTGTACTGCTTCCCTCCCAAGTTTTAAAAGTACCTGGTGGAAGTGGTAGCAAACCGTGTGGAGAGCGGGTTGATTCCAATCCCGACATGTGAACACAAGCGCTGAAAGGCGGGAACAACCCGCAGTCGTTGATAATAGACGCTGGCTGTTTCCACGGCAAGCGTGCATGCGCATACGCACATGCAGCAGAGTGCAGAAACAGCTCCTAACAGCCCACCAGGGGTGGGCCAACAGTGTGAACGCTCCCTTGCGCTTCCTCCACGGTATCACCCTCTCAACATTTCAAAGTTTCATCCCTTCCTCTGAGATTTATATTACCCAATACAACAGCTGGTGAAAAAGGCTTTCCTGCCAGTTCCTTACAAAGATTTAAAAAACATGGAATCTAATTATTTCTCAGTCCTTGTTAGGTCAGTGCTTGGCATAGAAAGGGGCAACTTAGTGCTACTTAATGTCATATTTTAATTTTATTGCTGTTTCATTTTAAATGCTATTGCATTAACTACTATGAAATGTACTGTTGTTGCTATGGTTTTAGTACATCACATGTAAGTCATATGCTGCTGTTTTATTTAAGATTCTTTTATGCTGGTATATGAAACTGTTTATATAGTTTTGATAGTCCAAAAGACACCTAAGGTGCCTTAGATGGAGAGGGCAGGATTTTTAAAATGTATATATACATGTGCAATTAATCACTGATGACTGTTCAGTTACTTCAGTACAAAACACACCTTGAGGCTGCAATCCAATGTACATTAGCTCACAGCAGTAACTCCCACTGGAGGTGTACTTCCATGTTAACATCCATGGGATCTGATTGTGATGCATCTATTTAATTTCAACTATAAAGGAAAACATTGAGAACTGTATTCATATCTCGACTTTACACTAGTGTTTGAACATGTGGCAATTCAACCAGAGTGATCTAGCAGACAGAACATGTGAGATTCAGGATCATTCAGATCCCCTCATCGTCACAAGCTTAACTGACCTCACAAGGTCTTGCAAGGATAAGATGGATGGAGAGATCACTATGTGCTGTTCTGAGTTTCCCAAAGGAACAGTGTATTAAAACTGGAGTAAACTAATTAAATGTGTAATCAAGAGCAGATGGGGGAGGGGAAACAGCCCTGCAAAACTGCCCCACCCCCCAAAGAAAGGAGAACCTGCCTTGCCAGACCAGAACAGGAGATGCCTGTCCAAGGCTGGACTACCCCCATCCTGTCCCTCATCGCATCAAAGAAGAGGAGATTGGATTTATACCCTGCCTTTCACTCAGCATCTCAGAGTGGCTTACAATCACCTTCCCTTCCTCTCCCCACAACAGACACCTGTAAGGAAGGTGGGGCTGAGAGAGTTCTGAGAGAACTGTGAGTGACCCAGGGTCACCCAGCTGGCTGCTTGTGGAGGAGTGGGGAATCAAACCAGGTTCTCCAGATTAGAGTCTGCATTCTTAACCACTACACCAAACTGGCTCAAAGCCAGGTAAGGCAGCCCCGGCCCCCATCCTGCAGCGAAGCCAGGCAGGGCCGCCCCATCCCATCCCTCACTGCAGCAAAACTACCGTATCATGACCCTCACCGCAGAGGTCCCATCCTGTGGCAAGGCCAATCCACCCCATCCCACCCCTCACCTTATCAAGGCTGGGCAAGGTGGCCCCATCCTGCAGCGAGGCCAGGTACGGTGCCCTCATCCCATCTCTTGGTGCAGCTGGGCTGCCCTGTCCCATCCCTCACCGCATAGAGACTGAGCAGGGTAGCCCCATGCCATCCCTCACCCTCCGTCACTGCAGCAAAGCTGGGCAGCCCATCCGTCCCCTGCAACAGTGAGTCAGGGTAGGTCCAATCCCATGGCAGGGCTCCCCCTGCAGCAAGATCCTGGCTGGCCGTGTCCTGTCCTTCATGCGAAGGGGTGCCCCATCCCCTCCTGTTCCTCACAACAGTGCCCACCTACCCTGTTGAGTCGAGTGGCCAACTTTGGGTTGGAAAATTCCTGGAGATTCAGGGGCAGAGATTGCTAGGCCTCACCTGGAGACTGGCAGCCCTATCTTGAGGCTGGGGTGGCCCTGGCTGCAGGGTAGCCCCTGGGACTACATGGCTGGAGTGGAGAGGGATGCCCCAAGGGCATTGGCACAGAGGGCCTTCTCCTAGTGGGTTTAATGGCTAATCTACCCCAAAGCGTAATACATATATATGCAGCTGTGCAACGCACGCTTTGTTTATACCTGATACACCTGCCTTCACTATGTAATCTGGAGGAAATTCTCATGTTCATGAAAATGCCTGCTTGGCTGACCAAACTAGGCTTGAGACTTTGCCCTCACCTCTGCGCACAGTAGGAGCAACCGAGTTTGTGCTACACCCCCCCGCCCCGCACGCACACGCACACACACACTCCTCTATCAACGCCTTCAGGCTTAACTCCTCCAACTTCCTCACTGTCCCCTAACCCACCCAAGCGTCGCCAGCAGCATCTCAAGGAGCTTCAACTGAAGCCTGGAGCGCCTGGTGGTTACCCGGGCAACCAGGTTCCTCTCGCCACCTCCCGCCAGAGCAAGCCGGGAAAGGGCGGCGGCCTCGCCTCTCCCACTCCGGAAGCGAGCGAGAGACGCCGGCGAGAGAGGAGTCGCGATGCTGGTTGGCGCAGAGGCGGAGATTCTGCTGCAACAAGCCACTCGGAAGCGGCTGGAGAAGTTCGCTCAGCTAAGAGGTGCCGTCGGGCTGCGCCGGGGCAGCGGGGAGGGGGCTTGGCGCTGTACGGCTGCCTGCTGGGCACATTCATTTGCCTTGGCTCCCCAGGCCGACCTCAGGCGGCCAGCTCAAGGCGATCACAGTCGCTTCACCCGCCTCCACTTCTTAGTATCCTGGTCCAGCACCCTGCGGGAGGGTGGAGGGACAAGACGAATGACAGTGCATCAGAAATGTGTGACGGTGTTTTCAGTCTCCTGATAACTTCTGCAAAAAACAGGGGCGGCTGGGGAAGAGGATGGCCCTGGGAAAGGGCACTCCCTCCGGAAGGAAAGGAGCACATGCCCGGCCAGCGCAGAGCAGGAAGTGCCTAGCCAAGGGGGCTGGGCTGGGCTGGGCTGGACGGGGCCTTGCGGCAGGACTCTATCCCGTTCCTCGCCGTGGCCAGGACGTGGGGGGGGCCCCATCCCGTTCCTCGGCAGGCGAAGCGAGACTGGGAGGGGCGGTCCCATCTCCCACACCATGGCTTAGGAAGACAGAGCAGACCCCATCCCGCCTCTCGCCAGGGCGCTTGCCCCTCCTGTACAGCTGGGTGACCCTGTCGGGGGTGGTGCTCCCTAGGACCAGATGGCACCAGTGAGGAAGGTCGGACGTTTCCCGGCGGCCTTATGGCTACTATGCTCCTTGCAAGGAGACAGCTACTACAGTCTTCTTTGTTGTGAGAAGCATAACTTGACAGCGGGATGTACTAAAAGGAAGGACAGGATTGCCCACTGGACAATGGGCAATCCTGTCCTTCCTTTTAGTACATCTCCTTGACAACTGACAAGAGCTCCAGAGCTGAAAAGGGTCGTGTGGGACTGAGGCTGCAATTCAGAGCAAAGTCACTCAAATAGGGTGGGTTTACTTCTGAGCTGTGGCTCCTCGCAAATTCATAAGTTGTGTCCAATTCTTTTAAAAACACAGGGTTTAGGTTCTGGTAAATGCACGGGCTTATGATGTGACAACGCAAAGAGAAGACAAACAGCTTTGATGTCATTTGTCTGCTTCCTCTAACAGGCTCATGCCCGAGTTTGAGCTCTCCCACCCCTATGCATATGAGAACAATTTCATCCCAAATCAGTGCTCCTCAATATCTCCTGCTTGAAAACACAGACATGCAAGTTACCAACATGGGCAGGGGTCCTGTTTTTGACAGGCCATCAAATGAGTAAGAATTCCTCCTTGCCTGAGGGAACAAATTATGTCTCACTACAGTTTGCATTTTCTTTTTATATCTTCTGATGTTTATGAGGGGAGGGAGCAGTCTCAAGCTATAAATCTCCTCCTCCAATAGCTACCAGAAAAACCTAAAAATAAAAGCAACAAACCTCAGCAGACAGAGCAAGTGAGGGCACAAAAGTGTCTCTTTTCCTCAGACAAGGAAATATCCCTACCCTTTTGAAAGGCTAAGGGTAAGGTTAACAAGAGAGCAATTCTAAACAGACTCTTACTCAGGTGGTCTATTCAATGGGGCTTGCTCCCAGTAAACCTGTCTGAGGATAGCACTGTTCTTTAAACAATGCAGCCTCTTCTGCCTGACTTATATCATGGATAAAACTTTGTTGATCTTAAAGGTGCCACTGGACTCAAAATATGGAATTCCAGAGAGACTGTAGCCAGGTGCCTAGTCACCATTTCCCCTTGCATTAATAAACAAAGGCAACAAAGTCTCCTTGCTGGCTTCAGATATCCTTTACCAACTTTTGATAAAGAGCCGTAACTTTTCAAAGATAATCAGTAGTTGGTAGATTTTGGCCCCGATCACACGAGAGGTTTTGGGCCGGTAGAGGGACAGAACGGGGACGCAGCAAACGTGCACGATCCCACAGCAACATCTGGGAATCGTGCTGCTTGCGTCCCCGATCCGCCCCTTCCACCCAAAACAGAACCACCTACCTTGGTGGTTCGTCCGAGAAGTGCACCCCAAGCCCGGCCGTGGGATCGCCGGCGCATCCTTGCGCCAGCGCATCTCTGCCCCCTGGCCGAACTGTGTGAGAATGCACAGTTTGCCAGCCTCCCCTTCCCACTGTAGCTTTCTCCCCGGCATCTGATCATGCCGGGGAGAAAAGGCGCCGCGGCTCAGGGGATCCGTGGGATCCCGCCGCGGCGTCTCAACTTTGGTGTGGCTTTTAGAAGCCGCGCTTTGAGCGAGTTTTCCCCTGCCATGTGGCAGGGGCTTTTGTTCACTTAAGTTTTCTGTGCACTTAGAAGTGCAGCAAACATTAATACCAGATCTTAAAAAACCTAGATGTTAAGGAAACTGGGGAGGCTAGATCCCTTTGGATTGTCAGGTTATGGTTGATTCTCATGTGACAGCCCACACATGTGAAGCTGCTCAAAATGCTTCTGTGTGGCTATATCTGTGGGTATTCAAACGTTTTCTGTATGGATGAGCTGAATTGCATCTCCATCCAGGAGGACTGGTCAGATAGGTAAGAGGCATGCAAATGCCACAGGCAGGAACTGCCACAATACAAAAGCATTTTTCAGCAGCCTTCTGTGTGAAAGCCCTAACATAAGAATCTTTCTTAAGTAGAGTTGCCTTTCTTATCTACTGTGCAAAGCACCCAAGCCAGCGTACTATAACATGTGGGGAACACAAGAAATAGGGAAAGAGTTAAAGGGATAATTTATGTATTATTTATTTCTTGATACTTCATTTATACCATTGGGGGCACAAAGCAGCATACATCATTTGCCTGCCTGCCTGCCATTTTATCCTCACAACCCTATGAGATAGACTAGGCTGTGGGAGTGTGACTGGCCCAATGATAAGTCACAGCCTCCTTGTTTCTGAGTGCACTGGTACTTTTAAAAGCATAAGAAATACCCCCAAGTTATGATTTGGAAATATTATTTTTGTGTAACTGTCTGTATGTTAAGTGCCATCAAGTCACTTCCAACTTATGGTGACCCTATGAATTAATGTTCTCTAAAACATCCTATTATTTAGCCGCCCTTCTGAGATCTTACAAATTGAGGGCCATGGCTTCTTTTATTGAATCAATCCATCTCATGCTGGGTCTTTTTTCCTTCTGCCTTCAACTTTTCCTAGCATTATTGTCTAAGGCCAAAAATATGCATTAGAAGCAAATGCATATAACTTTCGTCCAAAAGGCCACTTTATTATTTTAAAAGCAAGTGTGGAAAGATGAAGTTGATAGTAGAGAGGAATCGGGAACAAGGGATCCAATACATATTTTAAACCTCCATGGAAAATGTTGCAAAGAAATTTGCATGCTATCAAAAGCAGGTTTGCTCAGAAGCAAGTCATTGAGTTCAACAAATCTTACTTCCTAATCAGTGTGCTTAAAATTGCAAATACAATGCAAAAAATGGTGTCACATCAGTGGAAAATAATGCAGTGGCAAAAGGATATGTACAGCAAACAGATAAATACATCCTGTATGCTGTAGTATAATCTGTGCTCCATTTCCCCTTTATAAAGCACATTCCTGAACCAATCTGTTATAGTTTTGTCCCTTTACATTGTTTCTGGAACAACAGAAGCATGAGAACCCTTTTGACCTCTTCAGGCAAGCTACAATAGAGAAATTACTTGTATGGGTGGTTGTTTAGGCTTGCTAGCTTCCAGGTGGTGGCTGGAGATCTCCCGCTATTACAACTGATCTCCAGGTGATAGAGATCAGTTCACCTGGAGAAAATGGCCACTTTGGAAGGTAGACCCTATATTATTATGCCCCATTGAAGTCCCCCTCTCCCCAAACACTGCCTTCCCCAGACTCTGCCCCCCCAAATATCCAGCTATTTCCCACACCATAGTTGGCAACCCTAGTGGTTGTTGCAGGGTGGCACCTGAAGAAGACCCTGAACAAATGAGCCGAATATAGGAGGAGAGGCAGTCCTGCAGATATGAAGGTCCAAGACTATGCAGGGCTTTGTATGTGATAGTAATTTGAATTGACATGGGGTTGCCCTTAATAAGATGTCTGGAAACTGCAGTGAGTACAGAATGCTGCAGTGAGGATGCTTTCTGGAGTGGTTCATAGAAATCATATCATTCCAGTCTTTTCCATCACACCAGCTTCCAATCTTGGTGTTGACGTTAGGCCCTATGTGGCCTGGGATCTACATGCCTTAAGATCTATTTCCATATGAACCTATCCAGCCATTACGATCATCTTCAGGTACACCAGCCATCTGAGGCTAGAATTATTGGTGCATGTGTTTCAGCAAAAATGGAAAGAGAGTATGATGCCACAGGTAACAAACATCAGTATGAATGGACAGTAATTCAGATTACCATGTCAGATGGCTGCTGTATGTGGAGTCTGGTGGGCTTGAGGCTAAGAAAGAAATATGAGTGGCTGAAGAGCAATAGCTTATCTCAATGTGTAATCACAGTTTTCTAAGAGACATGGAAGGGATGTTGGGCTGACTGTCATGAAATGGGAATAGGTGAAAGAATGGAGGGACATGACAAGCTACAACGTCTATTGTGATAGACAAGGTAGTCAGGAAGTGTCAGAATTCCAATATCTGATGGAAAAGAAAATATTTTACTAATAGCATCAACATGCTTCCAGGTCATCTCTAACCTAAGCAACTGTTCTGTTTCTTACAATAACATTCTTGGTTTCAAACAGGTAAAATTGTACCAACTGGAGAATTCTGGGATGTGGTTGTAATAACAGCACTTGACAAAAAACAGGAAATTGCATACCAGCAACAGTTATCAGAAAAACTGAAGAGAAAGGAACTACCTCTTGGTGTTCATTACCATGTTTTTGTTGATCCTCCTGGACCAAAACTTGGTAAGTTCTTTACAGCATATCTTGTTAATATTAGAAGCAGATTTCTACACAGAAATGCAAAATAAATAAATAAATAAAAATCAAACCACAGTTACCTACTTCCACTGAAATTAGCAGGCCTTTCCCTTGCCCCTTTTCTTTAGCTGTGGCTATTGGCTTAAATTTGCAGGTCTCTAACTTTTCAGTCATCTGGTGAGCAGAGACCCAGTCAGTCTGTAGTTTAAATATTCACTATGATTTGATTAATTTTTCAGGCAGACAAAAAGGTTCTCATTCTGGTGCATATTATGACAGCTGTATCTCTTTTGCTGAAAGACTTCCAGAACGCCATTAGAAGCTGAATTATATTAATTAAATCTCCAAAAATATGTTCAAATACCATTATTATGCTTCTTTTGATTCAAGTGTGTAACTCCCATCAGTATTAATGAGTCAGATGTTCTTTTGGATGGTAGTAGTTGAATAGATCAATTAAGGTTTATCCTAGCTTAGGTATTATTCCTGATGCCTTCTCATTAGATTTTATGGCAACTTGGATTGTGAGACTGTTTCCCTTAGGATAAGGAACTGGATGGTGGTGTTTGTTTTTGGTGGCAACCCTTTGGTCAGCATTACATCTAAATCCATCTTAAGAACCTGGAACATGAAATGCCAGCTAACAGTCCTTGTCTGTTTTGTACTCCTCAATTCATCTTGTTTCTATTTGAAATAGTTTTGTATTTCTCAGTGACTTCTGATTTGATGTATGGAAAGGATTACACTCAGTGGATCGTGCACTCCATGGATCATGCAGATGACGGTCCTCCAATGTCTTACATGACTTGATGACCCTGATGTCTTGTATCACAGCAGTCAATGGGTTTCAGAATTAAAAGAAAGAGTTCTTAGTTTAGTTTTATTATTACGGTCTTAAGACCAACATACAGAGTAAGCATAATATGTGAGGGAGAGAAGAAAAAAACCAGTCATAATATACAAAAATAGAAATTGAATTTATGAACTTTTAAAATGCGATTCCCACAATCTAAGAATTCATGCACAAAACTCAGTGACTGAATGTGTAATCTCTACATTCTTATCTAATAGGAGCCAGTGAAGCCTTGCTTTGTTTGTGTTAATGTGCCCAGATGTCCTATCAACTAATGGGGTAATAATTTTAAGACGAGCCTCCCTGTAAAATGGACAGCTGAAGAACATATGCTCTACTGATTCAACCTCGCTTAAAAGGCATGGGCATAGCCTTTCAGAGTAGGTGGTTTTGTTGTACCTGCCTTGAATAACTGCAGATGGAAGGGCAGAACATCTAGCTAGGGCAAACGCCCTTCTAGAATTCTTTCCCTCCACTGAAGTCAAATATATTGCCGGCTCAATGGTGCTTTTGATATTTAACAACACCCCAAGTTTGGAAGCCTTAGAGATGTCAGATTGTCGCTCAATATCCTCAACTCTTTGTTTAATTAGCCCTTTGGCTTGTTCAAATCCATAGGATAAGAGTAGCTGAGGTGAGAAGCCAATTCTATGAATATGATAGGGAACTGCCTTGATCCAACTGGATTGGAAATCATCCTGGAATATCAGGGGAAGCAAGCCTTGTGGATTGAAATGACATATAGATGGATAGAATACATACCCTAGCTTCAATTCTAAGATTCCCAGACTCTAGTCATATCCAAGCATTGGATAAACAGTTAGGAACTTACAGAACAGCTCTTAAAAATTTGGACTGAACTCTTTCTTGCGACGTAAAGCATGAGGAAGGTGGTGCTAAGAATGTTCCATAGAGCAGTTGTGCCAATGTTTTGGCCTTATATAACTTCAGGGCTGCAGGAACAAAGTGTCCACCATGAGTTCGAAAAAAATTCAGTATGGCATATGCGGATCTTTCCCCTAGATCGGCAACATATTTGCTGTGCTTAACCCTAAAACTGGAGGCCTGTAAAACTACGCCCAGGTATTTAAAACTATCAACTGATGGCCGTTTATTGCCCAATTTCTGGGTTTTGATCTACTCCCAAAGGCTATAATTTTAGTTTTTTGATAGTTAATTGTGAGAAGCCCATCTTCACAAAACATGCTGAACTTCCTTAGGGCTCGCCTAAGACCAACTGGGGTTTGAGATAATATCACAGCATCATCGGGCATACAGTGAAACAGATATATGCTGGTGAGCAGGTTTAGGGGTATGAAGATCAGAGGTGTTAAGAGATTGATCTATAGTTGGATGGGTCCTTCTTTAAAATATTTTTATTAATTTCTGACTACAAACACTATAAAAAACACTACAAACACTAACACTAACCTAAAATAAGCTATACAAGGATAATATATAATGATTAGATGCATATTTAGTTAAAGCTCGCTCTATTAAGAAATAATTTTTGGAATATAGCTAATTTCTACCGCTTCTATTACAGACGGGTAAATATAGAATTAAATCAAGTAAATACAAACAATAAGACTTTTAGGCTTATACAATTCTATTAAGTCTGTTTCTTCCCTTTATTTTTCTTCTTTTCATATTTCCATTTGACTTTCAGGACTTTTGGGACTGCTTCCCCTAATTCTGATTCAGAGTCTTCTTCTGGGTTACTACTCGCTGTTGGTTCCGAATCTCCCGACCCATGTGTGCTGCTTTTTTCTTCGATATCTTGTTCCTCTGCTGTATCATTTTTGTTCACTGGATTTTGTTGTTGTTCCAAGAACATCTTCGCTTTTAAAAAAGAGTCTATCTTTTCTTTTTTATCTTTGTAATTGAAGACCAGTCCTTTGGGTATTATCCATCTGTAGGGGATGGAGTTTTTCTGCAAAAAGCTGGTTAAATTTTTGTATTGAATCCTCTTCTTTCTTATTTCAAATGGAATGTCCTTTAAGACTCTGATTTCTTCATCTTTGATTTTTAAGGTAGTCCCATTTGTGGCCTTGAGCACCATGTCTCTTGTTGATCTTTTAGAGAGTCTCGCCAGTATCTCCCCAGGCAGGCTCTTTTTCTTAATAAATTCTGGGTATGTCCGGTAGACCAAATCCAGATCACTTTGCAATGTGTCTGCCGTTAAACCTGTCATTGAGGCCAACGCTTCACTTAATATTTCTTTCAGATTCTCGTCTTGCTGTTCAGGAACACCTTGAAATCTCAGAACATACGCTGATTTTTCTATTTGTAGTCTTAAAAGTTGGTCTTTATCAGAGGATCTTTGTTTTTCCATCACCTCCAGTCTTTGATTAGTCTCTTTTGTTTTGGCTTCAAACTTTTTCACTGATTTTACAGTCTCCTCTGTTTTTAAAATCGTCTCTTTAAGCTGTTTTTGGATTTCATCCAACTTCTTGCTGAGGTTAGTTATCTGCTCCAGCAGAGGGTGCAATGCAGTAGCCAACATGTTTGTAGATTCAATATTTACTTCCAGTTTAGTAGCCGGATGTGTTGATCTTGTAGTTCCAGGAGAGTGTCTCAGTCTTGTCGCCATCTTTTCTCCCCGCCCATTCATTGTTTATATTTCAAGGAAAGTTTTCAAAAGTCAGCAAAAGTTGGTTCAAAAGCTCGCTTTGGTTAGATTTGTACTTCGCCTGATTCAATCGACCATCGCCGTTTCTCCTAGCCCCTCTCGCTAAAAGAGTTCGCTTAAAAATGTATGGGGGGGGAGAGATGTGAACTAGCTCCTTCCCCTCCGTGGATGCCATTAAGGGCTTCAGATATACGCTTTGCCAAATAGCCAGTCAAAAAGGAATTAGCACTCACGCTTCATTCCATGCCTGCTGCAGAGGTAGGGAGAGCTTTATTTTCATTGGATCACTTGTTCGCTCGCCCGGTGTGTGCCTCTTGGTGCCATAATGGCACCACGGTGACGGGATCTATCGGAGCTCGGAGGTGCCTCAATCTCTTGGCTGCAGCCTCGGGAGAAGCAACCTCCAGCGCCTCAGGCTGGGAGTCCCCTACAAAAATTCCGGGGTGGTGGTGGTTCCGGGTCAACCGGCCCCCCTCCCATCCATAACATCACTGGCCGCTCCTTTCGGAGCACCGAAGGAGCATGCCCGCCATGGAAGTTGCCAAAACCGGAAGTTGATGGATCCTCCTTCTTACCCTTTTTATAAAAAGGGACAACTATAGCTAAACCCCAAGACTTGGGGACATGACCCATGTTATCAATGTGTGTAAAGAGGGGAGCTAGGAAAGAGGTCCACCAATCCTTATTCTGTTTTAAAAGTTCTGGTGGAATTCCATCTGATCCTGGGGCCTTAGCATTTCTCATCCGCCCAATAAGTGATTCAATCTCACCAACTGTCACGGGGGACCATTTCATGGTATTTTCTAATGTTACCACTGATGGAGAATGGACAGCATCATTGTACATTTCTCTAAAGAAGGCGACCCATCTATCCGCAGGAATACAGGCAGTTATTGGTGACTTAGAGTCTGATGCTCTACAAGTGACTAACTTCCAGAAAAGGAATGTATTTTTACTTTTGGCTGCATTGATAAGCTCTTGGAGTACTCTTTCTTTTTATGTTTTATCAATAATTTGTACTCTCTTTTTTTTGGACAAAAGTTAGAAAAGAATTTCTTGCTTGGCTCCCTCATCACCACTTTAGTATTGGTGATAGACGCTGTTCAAAGCAGTTTTGGCTGCAATTCATCTTTGATTAAACCATGGTTTGGATAAGTTGAAGGGTTTAGCTCCCTTAGCTGTAGAGGAGTGAAAGAGAAAGAGATATATATTTTGTATGAAATGTTCATATACTTCTATAGGGTCTTGAACTGCCGTCGAATACCCTAGTGTTTGACAGGAGTTCAGTAGGCTACCTGAATTCAAAGGTTCTTTTAAATATTGACCTAGAGTGGGGGATCATCTCACTCGGCAGCCAAACCTTTCTGTAGGTTGAACCATGATAGAGTATCTGGAGGTCAGATGAGGGTCCTCAGGATCTAAAAAGACCTGTAAAAATAGTGGGAAATGGTCACCCTCCAAGTATGGAAGTACTTGAAATTTCTCCATCAGGAAAACTAGAATTCTACAAGTCAAAATGTAGTCAATTGTACTCGCTTTGGCACCTGCCATAAAATTGAATTCACCAGGGGAATCATTTACAGTAGACCCATTTAAAGAGTCCTAACCTAAAGGTGAACTTAAAAAGGCAAGCCCCTGCATAGTTTGCTGGGTGATCTTTAAACACTCTCTCTTGACTCAGAAACCCCAAAGATTCACCTGATGAGCTGATCTGCAGCTTAAATTTGGTTGCCAGAAAAGCATCGTCTGGTCCCAAACGTGCATTCAAGTCACCAACTAAAAGTAACATGGCCTCAGGATGCTCCAGCATTTGGGCCCTTACATAGTTTTCTAGGGACATCCAAATTTCATCTCAGATTTTTTTACTTAGAGGGGGTAAAGAGCTGTTTATAATTATCCGACTTTTCCTTCCCCAAGATAAATTTACAGCCATCGCCAATTGCCCCAAAGGAGATTTTGCTATACATTTTACTTTTAAAGATGTCGCTATTAAAATACCCAACCCCCCTTTCAGTCGTCCCAGCCCATGCCCTGGTACTGCATTAACTCTAAAAGAAATAAAACCTTCTAAAACTAAATCAGCATCTGACCAAGTCTCCTGTACAAGAATAATATTTGTTCCATCAGAAAAAAGGAATATCCGGGTACTGAGAAATGCATCGTGTCCATCCGGCCACATTCCAGGATAGAAGTTCAAGGGCAGCAGTCTCCGAGTTCCTGTGGGTTGATACCATCATGCTTGAGGAACTGTTCTCTGGGAGATTTCTTGAGTTTCCTGCTCAGTTGGCCTTCAGAAGAGCCATGTCTTCTGAATTTGATGAGGTTAAATCGATAGAAGCCCCTCCTTCTAAGATCTTGCAAGTCTTTGGGGGCAACTGCATATCAAGTGCTTGTTGGATAACTTTAGATGACAAGGAAAGGACCAAAGTAGTAAAGGAGTAGTTCAAAGACTTCGAGGTCTCAGGCTGTTGGATAACATTTTCATGGGTATTACAGCATTGGAGAGGAAATGAAGTATCCATTGGAGTGGTAGCCTTCAGTAAACCGAGGTTGACTAAGTCTTTCAGGGGTTCAGCCCTCTTTAATGTTGCACACAGGGTTTGTTTCAGTTTATTAACCAGATTGGTAGGAGATTTGGAGTATGATGATGATTTTCCACTGCTATCTATAGAAGATACCATAGCTTTGTCAATATGCTGTTGCCTCTGGATTTCCTGCAAGCCCCTATCAAATGGAACACAGCCACCACCACACAAGAGGAGAGGACTCTTTCTTGTGTCCTGGAAGACTCTAACTGAACGAATGCCAAGTGTACCTAAGAAGCCTCTCATCTTAAGCAGCATCCGTGGGATAGTGGGTTGCCGAAATAGAAGAACCAGTCTTCTACTTGAAGGACATAGAAGAACCAGTCTTCTACTTGAAGGACAATCAGGAGATCTTTCAATTTGTTCTAAATCAACCTCATCAGCCTCCAACCTCAATAAATGGCATAAGAAAGAGTTCAAAATTTGGTAATGCATATATAAGCAATCAAAGTTTTCCCACTGCCAGCTATGGAAGGGTCCATACTTTCTGGGTCTCTCTCTGGTTACAGACGTAATTAAATCCTGTGTTTTTGCAAATTTTTATACAATGATTGTGGTCATATGTAATAGTGCAGCATCATTTTTTAAAGTAGATATCTGAAGTAAGGTATTGAAATCTACAAGCATTCAAATATTTTGCATGTATGTCAGTGTCTTAAAACCAGACAGAAAAAGTACAATTCTAACAGAAACCTACAATATCTTTTCCCCTATATAAAACTGTTTTTTTAAAAAAATAAAAATAAATCACATTTGTATCCCATTTGTTCTCTAGGAACCTCTAGACAGCAAATAGGTATTCTTATTTTATCTCCACAGCATTTCTGTGAGATGAGTCAGAGCCAGGACCCAGTGACTAGCCTAGTAACATTCTTCATGGCTGAGTAGGAATTTGAACGGTCACAGATTCCAGCAGGGAGAAACCTGTCATGAGCCCGTTCGCAGGGAGGGCGGGGTAGAAATATAATAATAAATAAATAAAATAAATAAACCTATGGCAAGCCAGCCCATTTCAGTGGTCTCACATTGAAAATGTACAATATCCATTTTAACCTATTTTCAGATGTTGTTCTTTCTAAACTGATGAATGTGTTGAAATGTTTTGTAGGAAATGGTGGATCCACACTTCATGTCCTTCAGTGCTTGGAAGAACATTATGGTGATAAATGGGATTCTCTTACTGTCATACTAATCCACTCTGGTAATTTTTTCCCCTTTGAATTACACTTTCCTTGCATTATGCATTTTAAAAAAAACTTGAGAAAAAGATAAAAACGAAGGTGAATGTGAGTTTTCTCTGATTTAAAATTAGACTCAAATTAGCTTAAATTGTTTAAGTTAAAGGCTGGAAATATTAAAACTGGCCTTTAGACACTTAGAAATCTTAGAGGAAGAAGCATAGAATTATCGGTACCAACATTTCAACTATAGCTAGAGTTGAAAAGGTGATTGTGACTTACTTGTGATACTATGGTATTGGATTCACAACCCTTCAGTGCATGATGACTTTTCAGTGCACTTGAAATAGTTATCATGTGTTGAACTGCATGTCTCATTATGAGTTTGCACTGGATCTGAGTATACAATGGAACAGTCACACTGATAGTTACTTTCTTCACATTTTGAAAGTCTGCTGTTTGCCCAGCAAATTACAATTCCCACTGTGGATAACGCCTACAGTATTATACAAGTTGGTGCATGCTCTTTTTAAATTGAAGAGTGACCTTATAATTGCACTTGTGTTCTAAGTAATGTTATTTTGTGCAAGACAGTGACTGATTTTGATTTGGGCATGAAGAGTTTATTACCTTATTTCTGTAACCCTGATTATACAACTCGCCTAAGAATGTGTTGTATCTCTGTTTAGGGCCATGCCTATAACACTTTAGGTAAAATAGCACTTTGGTTTTTGAACTTACACATTTTGAATTGTTCTAGTTGCCAGAGTGTCTTATTGCAGGTAAATTGGTCATATAAAGATACCTCTTATAGAGACAACTGAATCTGTTCATTTTACACATGTAGACATTTTATTTGTGATATTGAGACTTTATTAAAAGGAAGTAAGGGATACATGCATTTTTAATGCCAATATTTGAAGTGCAATGCTAGGCATATATGCATCATGTATAGTATACCCTTCTGAGTTAATCTAAGGAAGGAAAGGATAAAAATGCGATAGAATGATGCTCAGAAGTAAGTTCCACTGAGCTTGTGCAGCTTTCTCCTTAGTAAGTATCCTTCAGACTGCAGGCTTAGAGATGATTACTAATTAAATAAAAACCATATTATTTGAACTGAATAGCCTGAAAATGAATTGCTGCATATCAGCATCGCTACAGAAACTTGTCAAGTTAATATAGCCAATGGTGCTTAAATTGTCTACCCATGGCCCAGATTCATCTCCTTCATCTGCGTATGTATAAAATAACCACTTTCATACCCAATATTTTGATCCAGTATTGCATTTAAGGCCTTTGCTATCTCTCTCTCTCTCCCCCCCCCCTCTCTGTCACACATGGCAAGCATCCTCCCTTCACGCAGAAGGAGGGACATAGAAGAAGAAGTATAGATAAAGAATAATGAGGAAAGCCAGCTCATGCTAACCTCTTCTCCTTGATATTTTTATGTGACTAAGACTTGAGTGAAGTCTTTTAAAGTGTTTATGTGAATTAACATATTTGGGCATTATATATAATAATATATTTTGTTTGCTTGCTTGTTTGTTTTAAGGTGGCTATAGTCAACGTTTACCTAATGCAAGTGCCTTGGGAAAAATTTTCACAGCTTTGCCTTTTGGAGACCCCGTTTATCAGATGCTGGATTTAAAACTGGCAATGTATATTGATTTTCCCATCCAAATGAATCCAGGTGTTTTGATTACTTGTGCAGATGATATTGAACTTTATAATATTGGAGAATCAGACTTCATCAGGTTTGATCAGCCTGGATTTACTGCATTAGCTCATCCTTCCAGTTTGACCATTGGTATGACTCATGGTGTATTTGTATTGGAGCCATCTTCTCATTTGACAGAAAAGAGACAACTTGAATACCGGTCTTGTAATCGTTTCCTGCATAAGCCTAGCATTGAGAGCATGCATCAGTCTGGAGCAGTATGTTTAATGAGTCAGTCATCTCCTTCTGAAGGGATGGGAGACTCAACACTGAACTCTGAGTTTGTGTATACAGATAGTCTGTTTTACATTGATCACGCCACTTCAAAACTGTTGTTGACATTGTATAAACAAATAGGCAAGCTTTGCTGTGAAATAGATGCCTACGGTGACTTTCTGCAGGCACTGGGACCTGGAGCAACACTGGATTATGTTAAAAACATAGAAAATGTCTCGAAAGAAGAATCATGTCTAGTGGAAATCAGGGAGAAAATATTTAGGCTTCTAAAAGGATTGCCTCTCAATGTTATACTGTTAAATAACTCCAAATTCTATCACATAGGGACTACACACGAGTACTTGTTTCATTTAACTTCTGATAGAAAGCTGCAATGTGAAATGGGTTTGCTTCCGACCATTTTCAGCATCTGTCCAAAGAGTGCAGAAGATTTGGAGAAATCAGCATGTATTATTCATAGCATACTCAGTCCCATGAGTTGTGTAGCACAGGGCTCATTAGTCGAGTACTCCAGGCTGGGATCCGAGGTTTCTGTGGGAACTAACAGTATCATCAGTGGTTGTTGTATCGATACAAAAGCACACATACCACCAAACACATTCATAACAACACTAAGCATGAGGATTGATGGAGAACTAATGTATGCAAGCATGGTGTTTGGTATAGAAGACAACTTGAAAAAGAATGTAACAAAGTTGTCAGATGTGCACTTACTTCATTACTTCGGAGTCAACCTTGGAGAATGCTTAGAGCTCTGGGGCCTGAGAGTTTCAGACCAGCTCTTTTCTGGTCACAAGTCAGCTTTAGGTTTATGGACAGTTCGGATTTTCCCTGTTTGCTCCACTCTAAGTGATTCGGTGGAAGTGTCATTAAGGATTTTAAACTCTGTGAAGAACATGTCACCTTTTCAGCTGGGTGGCTTGAAGCTATTGTCTGTTGAAGAAATGCTTTGCTACAAAGACATAGAAGACATGTTGAAGTTCAGGCAGCAACTTTACGAAGAAATCACTCTGCAGAGATTGAAACAGAAATCTGATTTGTAAAAACTGTGTGAAAATGGTACAGCTTCCCTTGTTCTTTAATTTGAAGAGACTGATTGCTTTCAAGCTTTGAGAAATGCAGTACCAAGCAATACACACACATTTTTTGTGTTTCAGTGAAGTAGAAATAATGGAACTGCATTAGCAGTGTTATTGTAGCATAACATTAATAATGCAAAAAAATGCAGATAAACTATTCTTTTGATGAAAAAAATTAATGAAATATTTCAAATCTATTGAAAACACAAAGAGGTAAATTTTTTGAATGTTATTATGTTTTGGGATTTTAATTCTAATGGGGAACAGAACTTATTAATTAGAAGTTTTAATGCAAGCCACTTAAAAGTTTTTCAAAAGATGAATAGTAGCTCTAGCAACCCCTTCCCCTACTCAGGATTGTTTGTTTTGAAGTGACCAGAAAAGTTGTGTAGCTGAAAGTGTCTTTCTAAATTGTTGATGAGCACTGAAATTTCAAAAGGAAAGTTGGTGAGTGCATTCAGAACACAAATCTATATTTTATGCATGAACCAAGCTCCACCCTGACTGCCATTTTTGCAAGGGAAGCGGAGGGGTAAAATAGATGGGAATCCAACATCTGAAACCTGGCCTTTTGAAAACTTTGCTTTTATAGTAAATATAATAATATTTCATCACAAAACCTTTTTTAATTCTCCAATTATAAATCATTTAAGGAATGCTGCTTTCAATGCAAGCTTCTTGAACATTCTGCAGAGTTTATCATGGGAATATTAGTAATATACTAGATATACCTTGGCGTTATCATTGTCTGTGATAAGACAAATTATTCAGGTAAAATATTCAAGAATATTTTTCTCCTTAATTAAAATATACTTTTTGTGGGGTCTTATATATGTGTAGTTTGTTTGTACTGATCTTTCCTACAGCTATATACTTAAAATAGCGCAGTCGCAAACACTGAGTGAGCTTTTGTGTTTTGACATTCGTCAACAGCTGGATTCTGAGTGCTGAATCCAAGGTTGTTCTCCATCAGCATATCTCCTGGCCACAGAAGAGAGGGAAGGGTAATTGTTGCTAATTCCCTCCTCCCTCTCAGCTCCCTGAAATACTGTTCCTAGAGCACAGGAGACTTCAGAACAGAGGTATATTGGGAGGGCTCATCAAAAATCCACCTGTTTCATTGGTTGAAAATTACCTTGTGACTGAACCATCAGTAAAGGGGGAAGAACTATAAATGAGTATTTTTAGACTACAATATTAAACACAATTATATTGAAATAACTTCCAAAGTATTTCCCTCCCATTAAGTGAGACTTCTGTTTATATTAATGGAACTAGGAATCCTTGAACTTGTGTATGTCTTTTCTCTTCTTACACTCTTTGCAAATAATCTGGTTCCCCCCAAAATCATAGGAGGCTGTGTGGGTCCCCTCAGTTGATAGAAATGGCCTTTGACTAGGTTCACAGAAGAATTAATCAGAGAAAATGTTCTTGTCCCATGCTCATTCTAAGGGCAGCCATCTATGTGAGCCCGCTTGCAGGGAGGGCGGCCTAGAAATCGAAAAAATAAAAATAAAATAAATGTTCATTACATTACCTGTTCTAGCAGATAAAATTCAGGGTCTAATTTGTTTCCTTTTATAGTTCTTATTTTATTAATGTTCATAGCATTAGTACTTCATGTTTTATATTGCAAGTGTGTTTGTATTCTGTATGTGTTCCTGAACCATACACTGAAGATTCAAATCCCTGACCACTTCTTATTTACATTATTTATAGTCCGACTTATTCTCTTGGACTGAAGACAGATTATACAGGATGAATCAACGGATGGGACATTCAATAAACAATGTAACAGGATTAGGGTTGTAGAACCAACCAGAAGTCTAAAAACAGAGTTGAAGCAAAGCATAAGTGTTAACATGATGTATTAAATGATGCAAAATTCCACAGTAGAATCCTAATTTTACACAGTAGTATACACCATAGTCCTTTATGATTGTCCTAAGTAACTTTGCAAATCATTTAGTACAGTGGAAATCTATTGCCCACATAGAAAAGCCCTCTTGAATAATTCAATTTTGCATACTTTGCAGAAAGCCATGACAGTGGGAGCCTTTCTGGCCTCCTCAGGCAGGCCGTTCCACAAGGTGGAAGCCACAATGAAGAAGGCACACGTACAGCAGCAGTTGTTGATTTTGCCCGATTGCAGGTTGGCACCTGCAGAAGACCCTTCTATGATGAGCAAAGTTGTTGTGGTGGAGCATGGGTGAAAGATGGTCTTGCAGATATGAGGGTCCAAGGCCATGAAAGGCTTTGTACGTGATAGCTAATACCTTAAATTGAGCCCAGTAACTGATGGGCAGCCAGTGAAGTGCTTGCAGAATGGAAATAATACACATGCTCTTTCTAGCTCCTGATAACAGCTCAGTTGTGGCATTCTGCACTATTTTTCTGCAAGGATGGTTTTTTAAGTAGCGGACGGATAACTGCCTCTTTGAATGGCTGAGGGAAGGTGCCCTGAGTTAGTGATTGATTTATAATAGATAAGAGTTTGTTGATGTGGTCCTTACATGATTTTAGCAGACAGGATGTGCAGGGATCCAAAGCGCAAGCAGTGGCTTTCACTGACTGATCCCAGGATCTTATCGGCATCCATCACGGAAACTGGAGCAAAATGATCCATGAATAGACCAGGTGCTGTATGAGTCCTGTTTACTGGTGTGCCTATATTACAACTGACATCCAAGTCAGACCGTATTCTCTTCATTTGTTGATTCAGCTGTGACTCTCACTGCTGAAGGAGTAACAATGATATATCTAGGTTTGAGTCCTGTAGCACCCTAGAGACCAACAAGACCCTGAGGGCACAAGCTCCCCTTGTCAGTATCTAGAAAGACCATACCCCCAAAATCCTGTCAGTTTCCAAGGTGCCACTGGACTCTTACCTAGCTGTTCTATTGCAGACCAACATGGCTACCCTCCCCATCTTTGCTGCTCTTAACAGAGATCTACCTGTATGAATAGCCCTGCCTGGTCTGATCTCACGGGACCATGTAATTTAAGCACGGTTAGTACTTGGATGGGAGTCCCCCAAGGAAGACTGTGGTTGCTATGCAGAGGAAGGCAATTGGCAAACCACATCGGCTCAGCTCTTGCCTTGGAAACCCCATGGTCCTGAGGTTGCTATGAGTCAGTTGCGACTTGAATGGCATACTATCATCATCACCCACCATTCTATATTGGAGAACAATCTACTGAGTCATGATCAGTGAGGACTTTGATTGTTTTGCTGTGGTTAACTGTTTTATCTTTCTTCCAGAAACCAGCAGCACTGAAAACAGAGTTAAACAGAAAGTGGAATCATCCCCCAAACTCCTTCTTGTGGTTTATTGTAAATACTAGGAATAAGGTCTGTTGTGGAAATAAATACAACAAGCTCTAGAAAGAGGCTCTGGATGGGTGCCCTGGCTTTGGGCACTCAGTGTCAACTTGCTGTGATGACCTCAGCAGGGTATAATGACACAGAGTCCACCATTTTCTCCAGGGGAACTGATCTCTGCCATCTGAAGAGCAATTGTAATTCTGAGTGGTCTCCAGCCCTCATCTGGAGATTGGCAACAATGGTTTTCCAGGAGGAAATGACTGGTTTGGAGGGTGGAGTCTATGGCATTGTACCTGTCTGAGGTCCCACCCCTCCTCAAATCCCACGCTCTTCAGGTTCCACCCCTCAATTATCCAGGAATCTCCCAACCTGGAGTTGGCAACCCTATCTCTTTCTGAGCCAACCATCAACCTACCTTTATCTGCACCTCTGACTTCTTTCATCTTCTTCCCCCTCCTTGCAGCTTCTACCTAGGGAAAATACAGTCTTCCTCCGTAGTGGGGACCAAAGCAGCAGTAGAAGCCTCTTCCTGAGCAGGCCACCTCAGCAGGGTATAATGACACAGAGTTCACCATTTTCTACATGGGAACTGATCTCTGCCACCTGGAAAGCAGTTGTAATTCTGAGTGATCGCCAGCCCTCACCTGGAGATTGGCAACAATGGTTCACCAGGAGGAAAAGTGCAGTTTATCTCTGCAATGGGGACCAAAGCAGCTTACATCATTCTCTCTCCCTTTTGATCTGCACAACAACCCTGTGAGGTAGGTTAGGCTGAAAGTCTGTGACTGGTCCGAAATCACCCACTCAGCTTCCACAGCAAGAACCTGGGTCTGTTACGCAGACCCTGTCCTAGGGGGGCTGCTGCTGGTGAACAGGAGCAAGCAGCCAGGCCTAGTTAAGTCATTCCAGTTAGGTGTTATTAAGTCACACAGAGGGTGCTGCCAGGCCTAGGGCAGCCAACCTCCTGGTGGAGCCTGAAGATTGCCTGGTATCACAACTGAACTCCAGACAACAGATCTCTCTCTCCCTGGAGAAAATAACTGCTTTGGAGGGTGGAGTCTATGGCATTCAGATGAGGCCTCTCCCCTCCCCAACCTCTGGTTTCTGTAGACTTCATCACAAAATCTCCAGGAATTTCCTAAACTGGAGTTGGGAAACCCAGTCAGGACTGGCCCCAATGAGTTCCCCACAAAGGCCAAAGTAGGCCCTGCCCCTGCCTTTTTACTGACAGAACCAAGTGTGGTTGCCTACAGCAGGAGAAGATAATATTTTGATGGCCGGTGGCTCACTTCAATAGCCAGCCAGCCACGGAGGAGTCAAACAGGAGAAGCGGCAGCAGTAGAAGCCTATTCCTGAGCAGGGAACAGCCGTTTCAGTAGGCAGCCAGATGTGGAGGATCAAAACAGGAGAGACAGCTGTTTTGGCAGTTTATTCAGATAGGGAAGAGAGGCCAAGCAGGCAGTAGGCAGTGGAGAGGAGCGGACCCAGCACCCAGCCAATGGCATGCGAGCACTCTTGAGTGGCAGTTGATGGGCCAACGGCTGATGGAGTGCACAGCACAGCCAATGGGAGAGCTGGAAAGTGCCAATACCCTAGGACTTCTATATATATAAGATGTACATGTTGAGGGGGAGTTAAG